AAAACAGCCACTAATAGCCCATCTGTTATTGAGAGATGCTATGTGATTACGGATGATTTGTGATCATGATCAAACCTTTGAGTTATATGTTATGACTAGATTGTAGGTTTACGGCGATGACTAGGTTTAAATCAACTGAGCAGTTGTTTCTGGTGACATTATTATTGTCCCTCATTGAGAAATGATCACATTTAGCGTGAAATGTCTTTCAGAACAATGGACGGAGAGAGTCTGCTGGTGAAATGAGAAGTTCATGTTCTGATATGTGTGATGGGGTCAGGTTCTGCACAGCTCTGAAATATTTGGCTGACTGAACTGAATGAAAAATTCACGTCTGTACAGAAGAGCACAGATTGGATCATCGAATTCAACATTACAAGGGATGTTTTTCGTAACCTTTAAATAACGTTATAATCAACAAGAAAACTGGGCATTTCAATGTTTTTAGAATATTAAACATAAACGTTCAAATGTTAAATTTTGGGTAAAAAGAAAAAGAAAACAGCTTCTACCTGCAGGTCATCAGAACCCTTAATAAACTGTAAAGCTGTCTCTAAAATGGCACTATTATCCCCCATCATATCAAAGGACTATACAAACATGATGTCTTTTGAATCTTGCACACTTTGCACAACTACATTACATTACAAACCTCAAAGCAAAGTCTCCACCTCAACCTTGCACCTGCGCACTTTTTATTTTTAATTTATTTTTTATTGTTACTGTATTGTATTGTATTGTGAATCTGTTGTAACCACTATTCTACATTCCTGTTTCTTACATTTGTCTTGCTTGCCCCTTTATCATTTATTTCCATTATTAGTATAATACATAATAACGCACACAGAGTTATTACCACAAAGATTGCAGGTTTTCATGATTTTCCAACCAGTAGACGTCACTGTCCCAAACCAGTTCCACGCTAGGTGTTTACATGCACTCATTTTTGTCAAATGAAATGAATCCAATCCGATTTCAGATTCTTAAAGTTCTGGCACATGCACAGTGCCATGATGCGTATG